ATGAGGACAGAGTGGAGATTCCATTGTGTAAATGTGCAGTTACTATATGTAATGTTGAAACAGTAAGCATCTGTGTCAAACTCACAGATTTAACTGTGCTTGTGTTTTTGAAGCTGTAACGAATTTCATGCTCATTGCTTGTTCTTTTCCATTTCACTAACATTTGGCCCACCTCTTCAGTTGGATGAAGGGATATGTTTGACGGTGGATATAGCAGAACTTGGTGGAGGAAACAAGCAGAAATATCTGAATTTACATAATGCAAAGTATGAAAAGTAAATGCTTCATGTGAGATTTACTCACGCTGGTCTTCCACACTGACAGCTCGACTGTAGATGGTGGTGTTGGTGTCTTTGTCTATCACTCTGATGTGTGTCTCCACATATAGGTAGACGTCACTTGGTGGGAATGTACAAATGTTGAGGATCTTCTCTTCAAAAGTTTGTTGTTTCACATCACATCTTTTCTCTTCCATTAATCTGGTGATACAAACATGGTTGCTTCAACGTATCCTAAAACTGATGACAGTTGTGATTGATGCAAAAGTGATAAGACTTCATATGTTTTTGTGCTGTCAAAACTGAGCATTCATGTTTAAAATCCAGATGTAGAACCTAACAAATATTAATCAAACAACCAGTCAGTCAGTCAGTCAACCAACCGATTCATCAATTAATTAACAAATCTATCAACCAGTCAGTCAGTCAGTCAGTCAGTCAACAAACCAATTAATTACCAGCCAATCAACCATTCATTTATTCAATAAACCAATCAATCAATTATTCAATCAACTAATCAATCAACCAACCAATCGAGCAATCAATCAGCCATACACCCAATCATCAACCATTTGCTTGTTTTTGTTTAATATGAATACTTTGTATTATTAATAGCAAAATTTTATGAAATATTGTATTAATGTTATTATTTTATTAACATTTTATTAAATATTATTATAAATTGTTTGTTTTATATTAAAAAAAAATCTGTTTTGGAGGTTACATATGAGAGGAAAATTGTAAGATTGTTGGTATCATATCTTAAAATATTATAAACAGGCAGCAAGCTGCTTGTAAAAAATCAATGAAGTTCAACAGAATAGCCCAATATTTCTTACTGTTAACTTAAAGTTGAATTCACAAAATGTTGTATGTGAAAAATATTGAATAGATATCAAATATATTTTAACTCGTTTTAAATAAGAAGTATGAACAACCAGCAAAACTCATGTTTTAGTGTACTCTTAATAATTTGAATATGATATATAGTATAATTTATCACCTTTAATTTAATTATTATTGTATCGTCATTTGAAATATTAGATTTGCACTTCACATAAATGTTAGGTGGTACTGTTATTTAAGTAATTATAAAGATGCCTGCCTTGTTAATTCTGTCATAGAAATAGCAGCTGTTGGAGATTTTCATATCTTGAAAATCTTTTTTTAAATGTATATGTATACAGCTTCCAGCACTCTAAAAATCCTCAGTTTTTTTTCCCGTTATCATCCTCAGTTATCATTATGAGTAAAATAAGGGCATTTTATAAACCAACCCATCAGTATTTTAAAACTTTAATCCAACTGTTGGGTTTGTCCACATTTTGCACAATTTCTAAATTAATTTAAGAATTGCAGGAATCTCTGTATGCTAGATTATTTTAATTGATTGATTGATCAGTTATTAACTTTATTTATTAGCTAACTGGAAGTAAACTGTCTAACTAGCTTTTTCTTTATAGTAAATGAGCCAATCATTTAAATGAAATCTACAAGATGAAATGTTCAGAACTCTCACCCTTCAATTATATAAAGAAAATCATAGGACTTTTCAACAGGTGCATCCCAAAAGCAAGTGAAGTCTTCTAGATTCCTGGTGAAACATTTTGGGTCCTCATCCATAGCCAATAACTCTGAAAAGAACAAAACGCATAGTTTTGATGCATGTATCCTTTTACACTTTTCTCTACTAAACGCTCGCTCAACATAATGTGTTGTATTTAACACTTTCCTCTTCAAAAACAGATCAGCTTCTTTGCAGAATGAACATAAAATACAATCATCTAAAATAAAGTAACCTGACTGGTGCGTCTTACCTGGCTTTGGTTGGCGAGGTACTGAATTCACCTGTTTGTAAAGACAAAAATGTAAAATCCACCAGATGAAAACTGGATCCATGTTGATGGGGGTCCATACACAACACTTTAAATTAACGTCTAGATAAGATAGATTTGTGTCAAGTGCTTAATGTTTTTAGGAGAGGGCGGGGAGGTTGGTAACTGGTCATCTGAAGGGGCCCAATGAAATAGGAAGTGGTTGCACTGAGGAATGAAGCAGGCACTGACTGACAAACAGCCTTCTTCACACGCACATAAATATATACTCAAGAGCTGACACAAGAATAAAAAACTTTCAGATGTTATTTCACACTGTAAAAATGCTGGGTTACACACAATTCCTTCATATTGTCCCTACACAAATTAAGTTAACGTAGGCTAATTTAAGTAGATTGAACAAATTAAGCAATTAAGTTTGCTTAATTTTTCCCCCAACCCTCCACCCAAAAAATAATAATTAAGAATTGAGTTGATTCAGGTCATTTTTGTTTAGTTTAGTTTAGTAGTTTGAACAACCAGCAAACCATTTTTTGAGTGTATTTCTTAGCATTGATATTCATTTATATTATCATTTTTCACCTTTAATTATCATTTTATTAATCAGTGTTACTTTAGAATGTAATGCATTACAATATGGAGTTACTCCCCCAAAAAGTAAGTAGTTGTGTTACTTGGTTACTTTGTATTGTAAGTAATGCGTTACGTTACTTTTGAGTTGCTTTTGCATTACTTTTTCTGACCTGGCTGAGGCTTGCTCTCTTTCAGAACTTGCAGGTTTTTCTTTTTCTTCTACTTCTTCTTCTTTTAAATAGAGAAGCTCTGCAATAAACAACACACTGTACATTCTTCATTTACCTTAAAAAAACAAACAAACAACAAACAACAAACAAATAAAAACATATATATTGTAGTTAGTTTAATGTTATCTTCAGAGAACTTCATGATCCCAGAGCTTTACATACAGATTAATGAATGTTTAAAGCAATGCGTTTGCTACTTTTGTACTTTTTGTCTAAATAGAAAGTAAAATCACTGCCCATTCACATAATCCTATATTCCTTTTCTTTATTCAAGCACTCAAAACAATGAGAATATTTTTATCACAGAAATGTAAAGCTCTGCTATTTTTCTGTCTGTTGCTGCATTCTCTCTTTGTGTGCAGTATTCAATGTGACTACGTTCATTTTAATTCAGCAATTAGTTTTTTAAAAGAGAATTAACTAAACTAAGAAGTAACTTGCATTACATTTTAAAATAAGTAATTTTTTTTTATCTTTTGTAAGCTGTTGGGACAGAACTGTGTTATAGTTTGTCCACAGTCATATTGAGGTGAAGTAAAGACAATAAGTCTTTTTGAAATAGGATCCAAATCCCTCTCATTTTGAGGCCCACTGCAATGAGACGTAGAAGTGCGGTTTCACCGCCCACTGAATTGATTGACAGCTGCGCATGTCTCTGTAGGATTTTGTAGGAAAAGACACGACATGTGCAAAGCCATTGGGATTAGAAAATCTGTTCAGCTTTCTGGGATGATCAATCATAATCAAATGTGATCAAGAATGAGTTTTACAAGTTTATGAAACTAGCTTGGGTCAGACCCACCCTCGTGCAGCTCAGCCAGCGCTTGCGCTTGGTAATGCTGGTAGGTGGCCATAGCGTGCAAGGCGGAAGCAGCCCGGCCCGCAGCCTTGTAGGCTCTGGCTCTGAGGGAGACAGATAACCTACAGGCTTTGGACGGAAGACGAGGCGGACCCTGCCAAGATGAGGCACCACGCGGACAAAGATTGACCGTAATGGCGCGCTCAACCTGAGAGATCACCTCACAAAAATCCCCATAAGTGGATTAAATCCACTATAGCATTAAAGTTCCCCATCCGAAGGGGAACAGTGATTTTACCGTCTTTATCACCACAGCCGCATGTACAATTATAAAAATGCTTCATTAACATAACAGATATCCATACAGAAGTATGTATTAAAGTGTATCCTGTCACATTAGCTCAGCAAAATCAGTACAAAGTTAAACGTGTATGCGTGAACTTATGACATTGCATAACGGCATTGTGTGTGACTCATCGTTCTCATCAACTCATTAACTCCACAACAAATAGATCAAATAATCAATGGGAAAGTTCTTACTGTAGTATTTTTCACAAAAGTTTCATGAGATCTGCGTCCTTCATGTCTGTCACTGTGCTGTTTATCTGACACAGCCAAGGTGAAGACTGAGGCACACTCTGACAGGCATGTGGGAACGGTGGGCGGGGACATCTAAAGACACCGGCAACAAAAACAGCTACAAATTGTTCAAAGCAGAAAATTCCAATATTCTGAAAGATAAATTAACTCATCTGATGGGTGTTTTGAGCTGAAACTTTACAGACACTTTCTGGAGTCACAAAAGACTTATTATAAATCTAAAAAATAGGTTAAAATCGGTGCCTTTTATTTTTGAAAATTAATGCTTTATTTACTCTTTACTTAGAAAAGTAATATTATTACATAATATGTTATATTATTACATTACCCCATCATTGATCATTAATTGAAATATAAGATTTGCACTTTTGTATATATAAATAAGGCATCTGACAAAATATAATTTTGAGTTTTCTTTTTTTTCTGCTGTCAAAGATACATCATGAAATGGGGTTTATTTTAAAAGGTTACCAACATGAAAACCCACACTATTAAACATCCTTGTATCGATGGAAAAATAAGAAGAGATGAAAAGATGAAATACCTTATCTTGTTTTAAATGACATTTATCAAAATATTGAATTTGTGTCAAATAATATTGCACTGTTATTCTATATATAAAAATTTTAGTATTAGTTTTAAAATTCATCATCATACAATTCTTGTTCAAAAATGTTTTTGATACGTAAACTATTGATTTACTGCATAATATTTCAATGTTTCTTCTGTAAACAAAAAAAGGTTTATTTGCCATTTTGTTTTGCTTAAATATGGAAAAACATTTAATGGCGACACCAAATACCAAAAATACTACCAAACTAGGATTTTTGCCTAACAAAAATGAAGCGTTTAATAAGTAAATAAAGTGAATGCAACACTTCACAATGGAGTTTAAGAAGACATTTTTTCAGGTTTTTGTAGAAGGAAACTAAGCTGCTATATTGTAACTGACAGCTCTTGAGCCTGTGGCAGAACTGGAGGAAATGTTCTTGACAGATCAGCAAGCTGCAGCAGGGAAGGGGTTTGACCTCAAGCCTACTACTTGAAGAAAACGAAAGAAAGTGTCAGTACTTTCTGCTCCATATCAGTAGAGTGTTTCTGCTCATCTTCAAAGGCCTTTGTGATGAGTCCTGTCACCAAGTCGATGCTTTATTTATCAAAGTAAACACATTCTCTAACGTTCTCTAAATTCTTATTGGATGGTTAAATCATGGTAAACATATGCCATATGTAAAAAGCAACATAGATGTAAAATATTTATACATTTAGTCATTTAGCAGATGCATTTTTCAAAGCGACTTACAATTAAGGAGGAATTCCTATTCAGTGTTTTTTGTATGGTCAATATCAACATTATGTACACTGACCTACTACTTAATGTGATAGTTTAACCAAAATTAAACATTTTAGCAGTACAACATTGAAGAAGATTTTTAGCTGAAATTGTGGTTCCAGGTTATTCATAAAATGTAAGTCAATAGTTACAGGTACTTTGTGAGTTGTAAAAGCATACAATTAAAACAAAATTAATAATCATGGCTACTGATAGTTCATTGAGACGTCTGTAATTTCAACAATTTACATGCATTAGAAAGCTTACACATTCTATAAAGTCATGACACACATTAAAGGAGTGGTCCCCAACCATACCCTATTTTAAACTTTAGTTAAAGTGTAATGTGTGAACATAAACAAAATCTCTAATTGTTATACGCTCAAAGTTCAGTGTAAAAGGAGACATTGGCTTTTACAGAGTTAGCTTAGCAAAGCCTACAGCGGATGAAGTTTAGCACTACAAAAAATACATCTGGATTAGTGAGATCACAAATGCTTTAGGTTATTCACCATGCGCATACACCCTGCGTAGCGAAGGAGCGTGGCCAGAGGCGCTGTAATGTTAAAGCTAAAATCCTGTTCAAACGCTGCTTTTTCCACAGAGCTCGTTTTGTTTCTGTTTTTGGGCTTCCAAAGGGCATGACACAAAGACAGAAGTGCTTACAGTTAAATTTAATCATGTTCCAGAGAATTATAAAAAATATATATAGCTAGCATTGGACAAAGGACAGCTTCCAGAATATCTCCCTGTTCCGTGCTGGATTCGACTAAAAACTTCTCGAAGACGAAGCAGCTCCAACCATAATAGACAAAGCTGTGGATTGTGAGCCACAACCTGTGAGTATTTTAATTTGTTGAAATTGATCTTTTACATGCATAGTGTCTAGCGTTAATGGTGTTGTAGCAAGGACGTAAACGGGTTTGTAAACAATGGGAAATGCTGTTTGGCACCATTAACAATTTAGCTACAAATTCATATGTATCAATCAAACCCCTGTAAGCACCTACAATCTTCACCAGTGCTGCAGTGTCTTTCTACGCGGCCGCTTTCCCTGCGTTATATATCTCAAATAACGAACTCATAAAAGATATGTGAATGTTTCATTTTACATACACATGCTTATAACCCGAAATATGAAAGATGTTTGTCAGATTTATTTTAGAGAGCAGGCATGAGGTTCAGCTGTATCCTTTTCATTTTCTGTCTAATTCAGGCTCACACTGACACAGCTGCTACACTGACTGGCAGTATTTACACAGCAGCGGCAAAGCGCATGCTAGTGGCTGGACGTGACTCTTCCTGGAGATGTGGAGCTGATCCGTGAATCACATCACATTATGTTAGCTTACCAATCAGAGCCTCTTGAGGGCAGGCTTTTGGAGGAACTAGGAAATATGACAGCCGTTTTCATGTTAGCAGAGTAGCTGTTTATATTCAAGGTAAGATATATGAAAAAATATTAGGATTTTCAACTAATGAACTATGTTAAATGTTTAAGTAGTAATGAAGTTGCTTTGCATCCACAGCCAAGCCTTAAAAAAATACCCTGTGGACCACCCCTTTAAGGAAAACTAGGTTATAAACATAGTTCCTTTTCTTGCACAGACAATTGCTTCATTTCACAAAAGCTCAATTAGCATAGGTTATTAATTTTGTCCTGCATATAGAGGTTGACTTGCGTTTTCTGGGCCACCAAGGACAGATTCAGAAAATTTTCAACTGAAGAAAACATCTTACCAACTGAAGAAAACAACTCATGCACAGTACATCTTGGATGGTCTGAAAATGAGTAAACTAACAGCAAATCTTAATTTTATGAGCAGAACAGATGACTTTCAGTAAGGATAATGCATCGTTTTCTCAAGTGCTACATTTAATAATACTGGCGCCTTTGTCCATGGTATGAACTGCATTTGATTTATTTACATTTCAAAAACCTCCCAGTAAAAAGATGTCAATGCAAAGTCCCCACAGACCCGATGCGCTACAATGGTAGCTTATATCGTAGGTTCCATTTCCTCTTGAGTAATCCAAGGTCAACATGCCCTGAGATATCAATCCTTCCTGAATCTGAAGTGTCCTTTCACAGTCTGTTCTCTATAGCCATGTGGCCTTGGTGGAGTGTCTCTTTGAGCGATGATGGAACCTGGCCACAGGGAAGTGACAGTAACGCAGAGCCCTACTGCGATGAGCCTCCCTTGGGCTATGACCCCTTCTTGGGTCTGGGGGGGCTGGTAGTCAGGCCTCTTCAGCGGTAGCATCTATTCCAGCATAAGTGAAGTTCTCAAAGAGAGCCATGTTGACATAAGCCTAGAATACAAAAAAGAAGTAGTGGTTTGGAGGGAACAGGCAGGGGGAACTGAATAAATAACCTTAATTGGAGCTCAAATGCAATATGTTTGTGCTACATGAGGAATATTGAAAAACTATCAAATATACGGAAATCTATTCGATTTCATGTCTATTTTTTTTTTCCAAAACAGCTTTTAGGGTCCACACCAATGCCAAAAAACTAGCACTGAGGAAAGACAACTGTGATATCACATTGCAAAGCCTAGCAAAACCTTCCATTGTCTGGTCTGGGGCAAAAAAGCACAACTCAGCAAAATTACATCATTCAAGAGTTTACACATAGCTGATGAATCATTATAAAGCGTGTTTGGCATGGTGTCCAGGGAGAGAGCCCTGAGGTCAGGGCTGGATTAACCAATGGGCATTATGGGCACAGGCCCAAGGGCCCGGGTGCACTTGGGGCCCCTGCGAGGGGGGAAAATAATGCCTATTTTGGAGGGTCTATTTAGGCTAAGTGCAAATAGCACACCTCATTGGAATAAGATAGTTAAGTCATGACAGCGTATGATTGACAGAGACAACATAACTAAAGAGCTCATCTGGCATACGCGAGAGGGGCGTAGCTCATAAACCGATAACATCTTTTGACATGATCGATCATGAACCCAGTTTAAATCCATTGCTAATAAACACGTTTTTCTTTTTTCCCCCCTCACTACATATCCGATTTTGCCTATTCTTCATCACGAGGAAGACAAATAGGAAGCATTAATAAGTGTGTGTATTATGGAAGACGTAGATTCATACAACTGGACTGGAGAGGTGTTATCCAAATCATATGCATTATAAGTTTGTAGAAGTTTTAGGCTACATAAAAATACCCTTAAATATAAATTTTTAGTACTAATTCACTGAACTTAAACAAGTATATTAAATTAATTTTTACTAGTTGTATTAGTATATTTTTTTCCGAAGTGTACTTTAAATGCTTTAAAAATAAGGTAAATATTTGTAGACTAGAAATATATGTACTGCATATCATTTAATTAAGAAATGCGGTCAATTATAGATCAATTTTATTTAAAACATATTATATTAATCATATTTTTAATTCAACTATAGGGGTGTGGCTAGGTTGAGGGCCTCTGAATTTTTAATCCGGGCCTGCCTAAGCTTATAAGATCTTCAAGTTCTGGGCTCTCTCCCGTTAGGGGGGTGAGAGGGGAGTGTTAGCTCAGGTAGATCTTGAGAACTCCTCTGCTTTTTTGTGACTAGTGAAATATTTTAGGGATAGCTATAGAGAGATATACTGTTTACTAAGAGCTCGCCTATGGTGCAAATTTGGTATGGTCAATTTACTTATGTCACGTGTTTTTGGACTGTAGGAGGAAACCGGAAAACCTGAGGAAAACCCACGTGAGCTCAGGGAGAACATGCAAACTCCACAGAAATGTTGACTGGTCAATTAAAGACTTTAACCAGTGGCACTCTTGCTGTGAGGTGACAGCTATGTCGCCCAATCTATAAATAGGGTTGGGAGGGGGTATTCTTCAAGAAAAAGAAACTCTGGTTATTTATAGTGAGTTAGGAATCCTCTGAGCATGTGATCTTTTTGAAATGAGTTTATGAATAAACATCATAAATCATAAATGCAAAAATTAATTTGATGTCAAAACATTGACATCTGTGATGTTCACACATTTGTGCCCGTTTGACCACCAAAATAATAAAACAAAAAGTATTTTAATATAAGAAAAGTTTTATTTATCTGATGGCTTTAATTTCAAATTTTACAATTTACACTGGATTTTGTATCTCGACACTACTCGACATCAAAATGACATCCAACTTTGATGTCAAAAAACATGTCAAAAATCAATTACAGGACAGTCCTGCAATCATTTATTGACATCTATTCTGTAATTGATTTTTCATTTGCTTTTTAACACAGATGTTAGATGTCAGTTTGACGCCAGTTTGACACCAAGGGGGTATATGCAAATCTAGTGATTTTTTTTATTAATTCATTTTTTTTCCGGCTTAGTCTCTTTATTAATCTGTGGTCGCCACAGCAGAATGAACCGCCAACTTATCCAGCACATGTTTTATGCAGCGGATGCCCTTCCAGCTGCAACCCATCCCTGGGAAACACCTATACACACCCAGTTACACACATACACTAGGGCCAATGTAGCTCACCCAAATCACCAGTACCATGTCTTTGGACTTTGGGGGAAACCGGAGCACACGGAGGAAACCCATGCGAAGACAGGGAGAACATGCAAACTCCACATGGAAGCGCCAACTGACCCAGCTTAGGCTCAAACCAGCGAACTTCCTGCTGTGAGGCGATTGTGCTACCCACTGTGCATCACCTCAGTGTTTTTTAGCCAATGATAAAAATTTCCAGTGAAAGTTTAATGTGATTATTTTAAATTTCATACTGTTCCTTTTACAGCATCGATGTTGTAATGTCATTACAATACATTTAGTAAAATAGACTCAAGCATTCAATTAGTTGTTCAAGCATAAAACAAGATGAAAGACAGATAGCCCATGGGTACCAAACTCAGTTTCTGAAGGGCCACAGCTTAGTTTAGTTCCAACCGTCATTAAACACCTAATCAGAGTACTTGATTCATTGAGACTTGTTTGTTACCTACAGTTCACTGACTTTTAAAGAAATCAGACCTTATAAGCTGAAAAGAAAATGAATGAATGAATGAACAACAGATTTGAGTGAAATTTTGACCACTGTATAGAATTATGTCCCTGGTTTCTTATTCAGAAATCTGCTCACCTTACTATATCTATACAGCAACCACTCCCCCCCAAAAATGTTTTAAGTACAGTATGTGAAACATCTGTCTGTTTTTCGCTTACCTTCCGTGCCTCTTGCATCCTATTAAGCTGGACAGATATTTGTGAAAATGGCGGTCGCTCATAAGGTCTATCTCGCCAGCACTGCCTCATAAGTTCATACCTGGATGGATAATTGTAAATATATCAGTGATAATAAATGCAATATTACTACAGCTTCAGTTGATCAATCTTCTGCTTACACTTCATCATCACAGTTTCTGGGCTGCTCCATTCTGTATCCCTGGGGAAGCTTCTCATAGAGCTCAGCACAGGTCATCCCACAGTATGGCGTCCCACCTAGAGGAGAACAAACTTATCTAATTAACCTGGCTGAAACATGTTTGAAATGCAAAGAGGAAGTGGAGAGCATATCATTGAAACTAGTAACACACTTACCTAAACTCACTATTTCCCATAGAAGAACTCCAAAAGACCATCTGAAAGCCCAAAGGCAGACATTTCAATTAAAGAATAATCAGCATAATTGTGATGAAGCTGTAATGTATATAAAGTACATCCAAAATGCATACTGCATAGTAAATACTATATTTGTTTGAAATCTAATTAATTAATGACTATAATAGGATTTGACAAAGTCACCTTGTTCAAATTCGCCCCATTTCAGAGAAATAATTAAATGTAAAGCAGATTACTTCAAAATAAACAAGAATTTTAAAAAATGTTTGTGCTCTGAAACATTTTGAAAGCTTTTATGCTTAACAAGACTGCATTTATTAGATCAAAATTCATTAAGAACAATTATATAAGATTTCATTTTAAAATATATTAGATTTTATTTTAGCATAATTTATATATATATATATATATATATATATATATATATATATATATATATATATATATATATATATATATATATATATATATATATATATAGCCTCCTAACCCTTCACCCCTGTGTATTACTCGCCCACATACATCGACAAGCAGAGGACATAAACTGACAGTTTGACAAATATTGCTGCTGTTGGACAACGTAATGTATTGAATGCAGTTTATTTATAAGGATAGTACCTATTTATAAGATATTTATAATTTCGGAGCATCAGATTCAGTGCATCAGCCTGAGCAAATCAAAGAAAGTGACGTTTTGGTAGACAGCATAATAAGTCCTTAGGGGAGAAATACAGCATTTTCTCAGCATAAGTTTCAAACTACAGCTGAACAAACCATTATGTCAGGTAAATGACAATCAGAGTCGATTTCTCTCTTTTGTATTTTGTAGTGCTGTATTTATATCACAGAACCTGGTAGTGTTTGATTTGCTTTGGCTTTTCCCTGGTTAATTATTAGGATATCCGGTTTGCTACAGAAAAATACTGGGAAATATCTGTCGATTGATGGCACTTCATGCCGTTCAGCCTCCTAATCTTAAAATGTGGGCAAAAATGGCCTGTTTTGTCATTACTTTAGACATTATGAATGATTTAAACATTAGCTCTACAGCGACATTTGTGAAGCAATGGTTTCTGTAGTTCTGACGGTCAGCTGCAGATATAAATAAATGGAGGAAGAAAATAGTTCTTTGTACAAAAAGGTTTTAGAGACTCTCCGTGTTTGATTTTATTTTTAATACACATGATTATGCTGTTGAACTGCAACACAATATCACACTGAATTATTACAGTCTTTTTGTCATACAATTATTTCGAAGTCCTTTTGTAATTCTCCAATTCTGAGTTTGAATTTAATAATCTAACTTTTGTTTTTATTATAATCTTGAATACTGATACTTTTGATTATTTTATAAATAAAAGTTCAAAAGCAAGTTTAAACACCATTTTTTTTTTTTAGTTTTTCTAGGTGAGTGGGCTTGACAAACCACCTTTTTTTTGAACATTTGCACCAGACACTTTCCTAAAATTACTTAATATCGCTAAAAACAAGCAACCTGTGCATTTATGAAGTGTGCTTGACATTTGGTGAGTGGGCTTGACAAACTACCTGTAGAAACTCTTCTCCTTACTCTAGCACTTAATTCACTAAAGCCTAGCAGTTCCTTTGTATAATCAGCACTTCTTGTGTTTATTGCCTGAATGCCTTTCTTTGGACAAAAGTGTCTGCTAAATGACTAAATGTAAAAAAATCCACAGCCTCTGTGGGAAATCAGCAAAAGTCAATCTAATGTAGAAAACTATGCTTGTATTTTCTGTTGGTCATGTTGTTTTGAAAATGTGCAGAGTGCACTGAGTGCAGTGTTCTTGGGTAGGTAAAAATAGGTCATTTTGACACGGGCACTGTGGTCTTGAAGAACATGTTTCTCTAAATTTGAGCTTCCTGGTTTTATGTTATCAGTTCCTTCCTGCTTATTTATCAGTTGCCCATTACAAATTGAGAAGGATGTTGGCATGTTGTTTTGGACGAAAACATGGGGATGGCACAGTACTTGGTGTATTACTCTTTTCACAGAAAATAAACTCCTTCATCTCACATTTTGTTCAATTAAAAAAAAAAAGATCAGTTTAAAATTTAGTTAAAATGCCACCAGATAGCAATGTTAACTCTATAAAAAAACATAACAGCTGAAATCTACAGAATGCACTTACACATCACTCTTGGTGGTGTAGACACTGTAGTTTAGAGACTCAATAGCCATCCATCGCACAGGCAGTCTTCCCTAAGACAGAGAGATAGCAACTTTTAACCAACTGTATGAGTAACTTTAACTTTATTCAACTTTTGTATTTTTACTTCAACTGTATTCAACTACTTCACATATATTATATATAAATGACTTGCATTTGAATTTGTTTTATAACTTTTATAAACAAAGTCCTCACCATGGTTTTTTTCACATACACTTCCTCACCACGTGAGAGACCAAAATCAGCAATTTTTGCAACTAGGTTATCTCCGACAAGTACATTTCTGGCTGCCAAGTCTCTGTGGATGAACTGTTGAAATGTAAACAAAAACAACCAGACACAGTTTAGCAATATAATAATAGCATTAAAGTTCCATATAATCTACAGTGCTATCATTAAACTAAAAAATATTCAGTAAACTTTATTAAAATTATATTAAAGTGTGTATTTAATGAATTATATCAAAATTACTTGGTCACTGTTTCATAGAGTTGTGCCTGTCCACATTACTTTTCTAAAATATACACTTTTATGAACTGAAAAACCTGTACCTGTTTGTCACTCAGGTAATGCATGCCAGTTGCTACATCAGCAGCAAACTGCAAGAGCTGCTGGGAAGTGAGTGTTGAAGCTGTGCCATGCTCCTTGGCGAAGGCTGGATCTGTCTCTAGGACTCGACTCTTTCTTAGGAAGTCCAAAAGATTTCCGTAAGGTGCATATTCAATAGCAATGTAAAGGTAACCTGTGGGTAAAAGAAGTTGTCACATCTGCACTACTAAACAATTCTCTATGAAAATAACAAAACAAAGCAAAAACATGAGTGATAAGAAAAGTGAAACTTTAATAACTCTTTTGCTCTCTTATAAGGACATTTTGTTTGATTTGTCATTTGAAACCCATCAAAATGGCATATTTAAAGGGACAGTTTACTCCAAAAATGAAAATGTACTCACTATTTACTAAAAACTCCAAACCTTTATTATTTTCTTTATAATGTTAGAAAACCTCTAACCATTGACATCCATAGTAGGAAAAAACAAATACTATGGAAGTCAACAGTTACAAGTTTTCAGCTTTCTTCAAACTAACTTCTTTTTACAGAACTAAGAAAGCCAAACAGATTTGAAGCAAGTAAACGATAAGTAAATGATGATAGAATTTTCAGTTTTGGGTAAACTCTAAAATTGTCTCAAAATGTCTTAATACCCCAAAAATCTAAATTTTAGGCCTTAAAAAGCCTTAAATTTACTGAAATATTGTGTTGTAGGTCTTTTTTAAACAAGTCTTAATTTTTCTTTGTTAATGTAAAGCTACCCTATCTGGCCAAAACCCATACAATGACCAACAATCAATCTTAATTATTTTTTTAACTTTTTATTTAAAAAGGTACATTTTAACTATTTATCATAATAGTTTAATTAATTTTCTTACAATAACATTTGCAAGGTGCTGCATGTATTTACTGCTGAGGACACCGACCTGGACAGATTGTTGAACATAAATTTTGTTTATTATAATTTTTAAAACTTTTTTTTAATTTTTATTTTAAGGAAAGTTTATGTTGAAAAAAAAAGTGTATGGATACAAGTAGAGCTTGCTTGTTTTTACACATTATTTAAAATAGTTTGCAAAAAAAAAATCTAAAATATTTACTTTTTTTATTATTAATTTATTATTGTATTATTAAATGTATTACATTATAATAAATATTTTTTTGATAGGTCAAATAAAAATCTCTTCCATCTGGGCAGTTCGAAAAATTCCTTAGCCTTAAACCTTTTATGAGTCTAAAATTTCATTCCTAAAGGTTTTTAAAAATGTCTTTAAAATACCTAAATTTAACTTAACTCCAAGAAACCCTGCAACTATCTCTTTAATTCCAGTGGAATTAAGAAATCATGAATTTGTTGCAAATATGCTTTCATTGTCAATGAAAATAGACTTTCATTTTATATAGGTTTCAATTAGTGCTTGTTTTTCGCCTATATTAAAGGTTTTGCTTATGGAGAAAATATATATATTTTTTGTTTACTACTTCTGAGCACTGCATGTCAATTTAATCGAAATGGTATGATTATATTTATGTGAATGTGTAGTTAGATGTTACAAATTGTGTTTAAAATATGAATTTCTAATTCTTTCCAATAGGTGGCGCAATCACCTCTGTTCTCGCAGGCACCAATAAGATTTATAATATTTGTATGTTGTCCCAATTTGCACAGCACTTCCAATTCTCCAGCAAAGTCTCGATGGTCATTCTCTGAGGCGAACTCTGCAGGTGCACAAAACACAAAAAATTCACAATCGTGTAAAAACAGACCTTGGCTAACAATGCTGTGCTGGCTTGCTGTCTTACCCTTGAGCATTTTAATTGCAGCACTCATTTTTATCCCATCTTTTTTGACCATGGCCTTGATGACCTGACCGAAGTTCCCTTCTCCGATGACATCCTCAAACTTTATATCCTCCCATTCCAGGATGGGATAGGTAAGGGGCTCTGGGGAAGGCTTTGGTCGTCGGGTAAGTGTGAGAGTCCCTGAGTTGAACTGGAGGATAGTCTCTTCACCCTGAGGATAATTATGCATTGACATTTAGCATTTATGTAATACTATCATTCAAAAGTTTGGAAGTATGAGATGATGGATCTCTATTTTAATATATTTTAAAAGGTCATTTATTTCTGGGATGGTATAGCTCAGGGGTGCTCAACCCTGTTCCTGGAGATCTGCCATCCAGCAGAGTTCAACTCCAACCCTGATCAAACACACTTTTTTCTATATATTAATATATAATATTATCTTTACCATTAAAAATAGTTTGTCCCTTTAACAATAGTAGAAACACTGATACATTGTCTTTAAGAGTACTAATTTCTTTGTGTGGATGAACTATCCCATTATGACAAAGCATTGAATTATTAAAAGGCACTTATTTTACCTGTTTTGTAAGATGTAATTGTAAGATGTAAGATAAGCCTCTGGTGTCTCCAGAATGTGACTGTAAACTTTCAGCTCAAAATACCCATCAGATTATTTATTAGCCACAAGAATCTGCCCATTTTGGTCAGTATACTCTAGCTGTTTTTGTAGCCTGTGGCTTTAAATCCTTTAAAAGCTTTTTCCTGCCTACTGATCCCACGTGCGTGTTTGCTTCTCATCAAGCGTTACGTCAGATAAACAGCCCAGTGACAGAGACAGACTTGGAAGAAGATAAAATAAAGCTCATTAGTCAAAAATGCCAATTAAGTTTATTTCATGTATTTGTGGTGGAGTTTATTCAAGCCTTTCTGAAATGATGAGTCCCACATAAATGTAGTTTGCAGCACACACTCACACATACCATATAAACACATTTACTGCCGGCATGCGGCTGAGGTGATTATAGCGTTTAAGAATTACATTTCGATTTTACTGTATTTATTACAAATATATTCTGTTTTAAAAGCAATTTTTAACTTAGAAATATTATAGAAATGACAAAGAGTTGTAATCAGTGCTTAGTTTGTAAATTGCGAGGTCCATTGCGAGTTGCAGAAGAAAGTGAAGAGCGGGGGTGCGTGTGAGGAAGGGGATTGGTAAAATGAGGTGCACAAAATAAGCCTTGGTTGTAACAAATATTTTTAAATATTTCCCAGTTTATTTGCAAAAACAATGTTCTGTGGACATGTGTATACTGTACATGTACTTTTAGAAACGTGGCATCTGTCAATCAAATTGGGAGGTGTGAAAAACTGCACTATTACTTCATGTTTTGGTGAGCCTCAAAATCACTGGGATTTGGGTCCTATTTTAACATCAGGAAATTCTAAAAAGAGACTTATTGTCTTTTTATCACTACAATATGGCAGTGGACACTATACATACACTGTTCTGTCCAAACAGCTTAAAAAAGTTGATTTTCATCATAGGTGATCTTTAAACACTGAAAAATGATCAAACTACACTGAAAAATGCTGGGTTGTTTCACCTCAAATTAGGGTCAAATGTGGATGAACCCAGCTGTTGAGTTAAAAATATAGTTTAACCTACCAGTTGAGTTTGTCCATATGCAATCCAAATTTAAAGTGACCCAGCATTTTGTAGAGTCTAAAGTAATGACATGTCTACTTACAGATCCAGATTGATAGGTGAATGTCCGTCTTCTTTTAAGGACAGATTTACGAATGTAAAAGAGAGCCAGAAGAGCCAGTAGAATGGTCACACAAGTCACAGCCACTGACCCAACCACAGCAAAAAGAAGTTGATGATCCTCAGCCAACGGCCGTCCCACTTGCTGAGTGGTGGGAATAAAGCTGGATAATCCTGATACATGGGAAATTAAGGAAGGACAATAAGAAGGACAATAAGAAAACAAATTTATGTTGTTATTTCAGTATTTTCTCCTAGTCTCCTACCTTCTCCAGGTGTCTGAGCTTGTACGAAGCTGCTCCACTCTCCAGGTACCTTAGAGAAAGCTCTCACTCTGAATTGGTACAATGTGCTCCCATTGAGGGATGTTACATCTTTTGTGGTTTTGTTGCCATTGTCTGTGTCTACCCAAGGATGCAAGCTGCTCTGGCCCACTGGCTGGTATTCAATGCTGTATTTTACAATGCCTCCATTGGGATCTTCAGGTGGCTGCCAGCGAAGCCTGACTGCACTAATGGACAGGGCGTCGGCCTGGACGTTTCGTGGAGAAGAAGGGCCTGGAGAGGAATCATACACAATTTTACTATTCCAGTTTAATTGAACAGTATAATATGCATATTTGCTTCATTACATCCTGTCTAGCATTAATCTCCTGTTCTATCCTTCTTTTGCCTACTTGGGGACATGGAAGATTTCTGTTACCCTGCTTATAGATGTGAATATGATGGGGTCTTGAAGGGGGCCCATGGCTGCCACAGTTTACTAGCCGGACGACTGCTTGGTAGTTCTTGTGATACTCCAGATTGTAGAGCTTGACGGAGAGCACATTAAGGAAGGTGGTTTCCTCCCACAGCTTCTCTCCATATGGTCCATAGAGTTGCACTAAAAAGCCACTGGCCTCACGGAACCTGCCAATCAGAGACCACCTGAGGGTGACATTACGGCCTTCCAGTGAGCTGGAATCAATCTCCGGTCTGGCCGTGGGCTCTAGCGACACAGAATACGCAATCAGAAAGAGGTCGCTGAATGGGGGCTTTTTGGCACAGGTGGGGGGCATCTTATTCTAATAGTGGTTCTGTAAATGCTAAACTCATCTCTAAATATGTTCTTTTCTTACAACTAATATATTTTAGATGTATTTTGACTGATCTCACCTGGACAGTCAGTTTCCATGATGGCCTCTGGACCCAAAGGACCCTCTCCTCCTTCTCCTGGACGAGCAAGTTGTACACGTACATGGTATTTGGTTGAGGGCTTCAGGTTTTGTAATGTGATTTGATCACTGCCATGCACTTAATTAAAAAAACAAAACAAAAGAAAATCCTTACTACGAATATTAGATGTGTAGCAGAACAAAAACTTTAAGTTTTGTTTTGTTTTTATTTGTTATACATGTGTATGTTTATTGTTTTGGCAACTGCATCTGCATGAACTTAACTTTAAACGTTTAATAAATCACCTCTCCTTGAACCATCTCTTTATCCTTGTGGAGGGGTTTGAGTCCTTGAATGATCCTATGTCAGGGGTGTCAAACTCAATTCCTGGAGGGCCGAAGCCCTGCACAGTTTAGTTCCAACCCTGCTCCAGCACACTTACCTGTAGGTTTCAAACAAGCCTGAAGGACTCAATTAGTTTGATCAGGTGTGTTTAATTAGGGTTGGAACTAAACTGTGCAGACCTGCGGCCCTTTTGGAACTGAGTTTGACACCTGTGTACTATGTTGTCGGGGCCTAAATGCCCCTGGCCACAACAATACAATCTTTGGACATGGAAAATAATTTTTGGGGCATGGAATGGTCTGCTGGCTGAACAATAGGTCAAAGAGATTTTTAAATCTCACCTCCATAAAATATTTGACCAGATCCAGAGAGAGGGTGAGACTGAATGGTTATTCATGTGGTTAAAAGGAGCTGTAGCTGTAAGGCAGCGGTGGCAAACCACAAACCTGGTGATAGACACCAAAAATAAAAGATGCAGTCAAGCTGAAGAAGGAGTCCTGGATTGTGGGACTCCTGAGGCAGCTGATGGGTACTGGAAGGTCTAGTATGCTGCAGCTAATGCAGCAATCTTGCCTGAGAAAAGGTTGGGAAGATCATGGGAGATGACTATTGGTTGGCCTTAAAGAGATTCTTGCAAACCATCTGGCAAGTGGCAACCTCAGGAAATGGAAGAAGTACTTTCACCAACACTGTTTATATGGACAACTGGGAACTTTTGACCTCATTCGGTGAAGTTTATGAATAGTTAAATTAATACTTTGAAGATCTCCTTAATCCCACAGACACACTCTCTATTGAGGAAGCAGAGATGGGGGACATAGGGGTAAACTTGCCTATTACCCAAACTGATGTCACCGACAGAGTCAGCTACTTCAAATGTATAAAGGCAGCAAGCATGGATCATATCTGCCCTGAGTACCTCAAGTCTCTGGTGAGGCAAGCTGTCTTGTCTGGCATGTCTCTTCAACATCAAGTGGAGGTCAGGATTAGGCAACTGGGTTGGTGTCCTCATTTTTAAAAAGGGAGTCTGGTTGTTGTGTTGCAACTATAGGGGACTTTTCAGGAAAAGCCTATGCCAGGATAATGAATAGGAGAAATAAGGACTCTGTCTCTCGCCCTGCCTGGAAATATCTTAGGATCCCTTGCAAAATCTGGAAATAGTGTCTGAGGAGAGGGAAGTCTGGAAATCCTCTTTGAGACTACTGCGCTCTTAATCCCACCCCACCCAAACTATTCTGGCATATGTTTTACACAGTGGATACTTTTTCAGCCGCAACCCAGAATTGGGAAACGCCCATTCACACGTACACTTATATACTACATCAAATATAGTCTCATTCAATCCCAAACAAACATGGGGAGAACATGCAAATTCGACACAGAAATGCCAACTGGCCCAGCTGGAACTTGAACTAGCGACCTTTTTGCTAAAAGGCAACAATGCTAACTACTGAGCCACCATGCTGCAGCTATAGATCTTAACCTCAAACAGTTTGAATTATATTTGATACAGGTTTCTAAGATCTGTATCACATGAATGTGATCAATAATTTCTTTGAAAATTTGTTTATATGATTGATACTTGTATCCTGCCTTCCTGTGAATATTCATTACACTGCAGGCAGTAAAAGAACTTTTTTTTAATGTTTTTAAAATTGTAACTGTCGAATAACTCACACATTTTGGTTATAAAATTGTACTGATTTCTGATTGTAAGGTAGAAATAACATTTATATTGTTGCTTATTTTATTGAATAAATATTTTTATAAAAATTACCTTAATGCTGCCTGAATAAGTTGACGGTTAATTCCCGTGTGGTGTTCCCTGATAAACAAAGAGACTAAGCCGAAAAGAAAATGAATGAATTTAATTTTCAGTGAGTGTTGATTTTATGTGTAAATATTAATATCAATTGAATTCATACGTTTTTTGCTCTCTTGTTAATTGTAGCCAATAAAAAAAAATATATATTTGCAAGTAACAGGGCTCCCTGTATTTTTATTTTAAAAATGATCCCATTTAAAACATTTAAAAACACAAGCAATTCTGAAAACCTCAGTTTAATAAAAAATCAAAATTATATTGTGGGTGTCGCCCTTTCATACTAATTACTTACTAACTGTGACTTCAAAACTGATATATACTATTTTATACCGGACAAATGCATGACTTAGTTTGGATATTGGGTATACTGTTATGATATTGTAAAGAACCAAATTTAAACATTTCCAAGTTACAGTCCCTCACCTATGATGGGGGACCATGAGTCTTCTGTATTCACTTGCTTGTAAAGCAGCTTAGTGGAAACAATGGGACCATCTCCAGCATAACTGTCCACTGCCTTTACAACCAGTTGTCTGCTACTTCTCAACAGCAGTTTGGGAGCAGCGGTTGGATAGGGTGGCTCTAGATCACAAAAAGTACAGTTTTAAGTAAGCAACGAGAAATAAAATCCCATGTAAAATATGTGGAACATACTATACATGGACTTTTAAAGTGAACTCTCTATGTAAAATCCATGTGTTCATACTTCCACACTTTTAACATTTGTTCACAGGTGCTCACATGAGTTTCACATGAAAGCCATGTTTAACTTGTTCCATATAATTCACATTTGAATGTGATTTGAACATGTGATTGCACATCTGAAGCTAAAATGAAGCTCATGTGGGTTTCAACAAAACAATATTAAAATGTAATCTCACCTTTCACAGTTAAGGTAAACTTCAAAGAATCCTGCCCACCATTGGTCGAGACTCGACATTCCCACAAACCATTGTGCTCTGGAGACAGACGTGGGATCTCAAAGTGAGCTGTGCTTTTTTTGGAGTCCAAAATAGTGTGGAATGCCTAAGTAATCAACAGTAGAGAATCAAAAGACTGCCACCACATTAGATCTGTAGACACAACAATATTTACACTTTTTTAAAACATTCCCTCTTTCACCTTATATGCAGCTTCTTAAACCTATTAGTCTTTCACCTTCAGAACGGTGCTTTCCAGCTTGCGTAGCTCGATGCTCAAATGGCTAGGCAGTGGATGGCCTGTTGCAGAACATGTGATCTTGTGGCTTGAGTTCAAGTTTCCCTCCAGGTTACTGGCTATGTCTAAAATCTCTGGTGCGCGATCTGAAAGAGGGATAAGGTTAGACACCGGCGCCAAGAGGAACAAACGATGCAGATTTTAAAGCAGATGGAAAAGTAGTCTTGAAGACTGACCTGATTTCTCACAGTATTGCCCTCTCCAGCCTGTAGAACATTGGCAGCCACTAAATCGATTGCATTTGCCTTTGTTCTTGCAGTTGCAACTTAGGAGACAGTCAGCACCGTACATTCCTTCAAGACAGGCTATCAAAATAATAATGATAATAATTAATTATACATCCTTTGTAGTTATCTTTTGTATATATACTTATTTTAAGTATACTTGGCTTGTTTACTCTATCGATTAAATATGAAATACTTTATAACATCATTTTACATACTATCTTGTTGCATAAGTTTACTTGTTCTAGTCTAATCTAGCAACAATTTAGCTGTATACTGTTTGTTTGGATCTGAAATGGGATGTTTATTGTATTGGAATCTAAAAAGAGTAGATTTACAAAGAAAACATTAGTTCTGAACTTACAAGAAAACTTTTATAAACCACAGTTTAGTCTCAAGTACTAATAAAATAGAACATATAAGTATACATTGTATACATATAAGTATACAAGTATAAATTTGTAAATAACTCGTGCTCCTAATGACTATCAAAGAACTTTTTCCAATTATGAGTGCTCTACATGTCATGTTTACCAACAGCAAAATAAATAAAAAATAAATAACTAAAATAAATTATATATATATATATATATAGTTTTACAACAACTACTACAATTAGGAATCTATGATGTTTTAGTTTTTTTGCACTGTTGAAGGAATTTATAGAGAACATTTTTGCCTTCATTCTGAAATACAGAGAAAATGCTGATAACAATTTTTGTTTTATGACTGAGGATTCTGACTAAGGACAAATACTTTGGACTTTATAAAGTGCAGTACTTGATGTAGCCTGTGTAATGTGTTTATAGATCTTAAACAATATTATTGTGGTCTTTGTATTAGTGTAGATTATTTACTGTACAGTGAGTGAACAATTTTTTTACTTGTTATCTAAATAGTTCTGTTTTAAATGTCTGCTTTATACTTGCTGTGTAGTCTTATTTATTGACACATTCAGTTGTGACTTGTAATAAAATATTTCTAAATTTTTTTTAAATAAAAATAGGCATCTGTAGACCCAAATATTTATTTATTTGTGCAATCAGTCATCAATGGATCAAAATGCCTAGGTCATTACTCTAAAAATACTATATAATATAATAAGGTACAATTTTGTACCTTTAGTGTCTACAAATTTGTTTCTTGGTGGTACAAATGTGTCCCTTAAATGGTACAAATGTCTAAAAAATAGAGGTATATAATTGTACCCTTTAGAGTACCACCCCAGTGACGCGCCACATGTACCCTAAAAGACACATTTTGGACCTTTTCTTCTGAGAGTGTACCACTATGACATTGATACTAGTATACTTACTACATAAACTGTTATTAAAACAATAGTTGATGGTAAGTAAATCAAATAAAAAATTAAAATAAAAAATAGAAGACTACCTCAGCCTTCCATTTTTTTCTGGTAAGGAATTTATCATGAATACAAGCATTTTATAAGGATACAATAGGCATGTTTTAGTGTCTGAGTACTTCAAGAAATTTAAGCCTCCTGTAACTGTTAGCAAATGTTTAAAGGTTTAAAGAAGCTTGTTCCATATGTAATAACTGCAACTTTACCTTTTACATTTGTGAGGTTTTATTTTCCAATTGCATTCTGTATTGTAAAACGTGACTTACATAATCTCACTTTATATTAGTTGCACTTTATTTTAACTTGCGCCATTGTTTTTACATTTCACAACATGAATTTCCTTTAACTGCAATTTATTTCCTCTAATGTAACAGTACAAGACTTTTTTTTTAACTTGCATGTTTTGTTTTTTACTCTGAGGTGGAAACTGACTTTGAAAAAGACAAGAAAAATGAACAGAGCAGCAAGAAATGTTTATTTTGGTCAGACTGATGGAGGCTAAATTGTTACTGGCAGATTCCAGCAGCACCTGTTTAAACTTTACTTCAGAACTCAATCCTTTCTATAGAGTCCAGATGACACCATGTAGGGAACAGTTATTAAATAAAGTGATCTCATGTTCAGCTTACGTTTACGACAGCGATCTCCATGCCAGCCACTGGCACAAGAACACCCATAAGGATCTGTAAGGCAAAAACTCAAGCCCTGGCATCCATTCTCCGGCTTACAGGATTCCTGGCAGTTCCGACCAAACATTCCTTCCCGACAGGCTGCAAAATCAGAAAAATACTCTTACATGCATATAGTCTCTACAGACATATTTTTTATGTTTCATGAGAGTGGTTTCCATTTACCTGTCTCACAGCGCATTCCCATAAACCCTGGAGGACAAACACAATCTCCATTTTTGTCATGGCACACACCTCCATTTAGGCATTCGGGACACTCCTTGTCACAGTCTGAGCCCCATTTGTTCTTTGGACAATCTGCAAAATGGACAAATAAAACATAAGCCACTATAATATACAATCTAAAGTCATGAATGTTTTGAAATAGAGGTATGACACAAAAAATCATACCACGAACGATGAGGCGCATCCAAGCGCTATATAGAGCACTGTCTCCAACATAGCTGGCACTGTAAATCCCTGCATAGCTTTCATCAACTTTCTTCAGATCCAAAACTGCTGTGCGGTTTTCAACATCAGCAATAGGAGTCATATAATAGTAGTTGCCTAAAATAAATCACAACATTACTCGTTTGTCAACCGATCATTTTTTGGGTAATACTTCACAATATCAGTACATTAATAATGATGTATTAATATGTAAACGAAATATTACTTTCTTATGAATTAATGATTAAGGCACACGCTAAACTAATTTTAACTACAGCATGATTCACAAGAGTTCATGTGTAAATAACGGCTACCTTAATTACTTGTTAGTACAGGTTGTTAATTAGTGTATTAAATAACGTAAGTTTAAGCTAAATGAATCCAACATGAACTTTTGAGCTGTTAATGTATAATTATGTCATGACTTTACTTGGAGGGGCATATCACCATTAACTCATCCTTAACTACTCATGAACTCCGTCCTGTGTTTAAACTGTTAATGTTGTTATTCAGTGTCCACGCATTAGTTGGAAGTTCATGAGTAGTTAAGATTGGGTTAATGATGATGTGCCCCTCCAAGTAAAGTCATGACATAATTATATATTACAGCTCATGAGTTCATGATGGTTAAATTAAGCATAAAATAATGTGGTAATTATTACAATAATTAACAAACAATCATGTACTGAAAAGGTAGGTAGCTGTTATTCAAACATGAACTTATGGGACTCATGTTGTAGTTAAAGTTAGCTCATAATTAGCACATGCATTAACTCATTATTAGTACACCATAAATTACTTAAATTTTTTAAATGATGCACATAGTTAATTTACTCAAGAATATTAAAGTTTGCTCACTTTTTTTTGAAGCAAAATCCTTGAATCGCTTTTTACAGTGCTAAATTTAAAACACTTTATTTTGATGTCTACCTTTAGACATTCTGTTGAGTAATTTTGCAACTACATGTCAAATGGCCCACATCTGAGTACTACACTCTCAGAAATAAAGGTACGAGAACTGCACTGAACAAAATCATGTCTGTAGAATTGTTGTAAACAATTTAGTTGTGTTGAATTTAAACAAACAAATTCATTTTAGTAATATTCAACTTGTTTGTTTAAATTTAGCCCAAATAAACTGTTTCCAACCACTTAAGTAAACAAAATGAGTAAATCCAAGGAATCATCTCTGAATACTTTTTTTCAGTGTGTCACTGGGGTGGTACCTTTTCAAAATGTAGACATTTGTACTAAAATGTCCATATTGGTACCTCAGAAATACAGTTGAAGTCAGAAATATTATTAGGGATTTTTTTTCTTCTTTTTTAAATATTTCCCAAATGATGTTTAAAAGAGCAAGGAAATTTTCATTGTATGTCTGACAATATTTTTTCTTCTGGAGAAAGTCTTATTTGTTTTATTTTGACAAGAATAAAAGCAGTTTTACATTTTTTAAACACCATTTTAGGGACACAATTATTAGCCCCTGTAAGGTATATTTTTTTCTCGACAGTCTACAGAACAAACCACTGTGATACAATTACTTGCCTAATTACCCTAACCTGCCTAGTTAACCCAATTAACCTAGTTAGGCCTTTACATGTCACTTAAAGATGTATAAAAGTGTCTTAAAATATCTAATCAATTACTGTCACTATGACAAAGATAAAATAAATCTGTTATTAGAAATGAGTTATTAAAACTATTATGTTTAGAAATGTGTTGAAAAAAATTTTCTCACCGTTAAACAGAAATTATGGAAAAAATAAACAAACGGTCTAATAATTCAGGGGGCTAATAATTCTGACTTCAACTGTATATATTTGTACCTAAAAATTGCAAGAGGTACTCTTTTGTACTATTTAGGTAACAATGTGTGCCCATAAGGTGCCAAAATGAACTCTTTAGTTACAAATTTGTACCTTTTAAAAAGGTACCACCCCAGTGACAGCTCGCGCCCATGAGAGTGTGTAGTACACTCTTAAATTTCCTGGAATGTTTTGGATAAAACAGCAGAAAGTCTGCTGCACTGTAAAACCCAACAGTCAACTTTTTCAAATGAAATGAGTGTAGGTAACTCAAAACTTACTGAAGGTTAATTTTACGTAATTAAAAAGAGTTTTAAACTCAGTGTTGAAGGTAATGAGTAATGAAATACCTCATTACTTCAACTTAAACAGAGTAAGTTTACAGTAATCATATAGATTAGTTTTTTGACTTGATGGTTTGTTGCAGTTTCCTCAAACGGTTTGAGTCGCCTTAAATTATTGAGTTTTACAGTACTCAGTTGGTTTGAGTTAATTTGTTGGGTTTTAGTGTGCTCAAACTACTTCTTTTACTCAAATGAAGTAAGTTCACGGTACTCATTAGGATGAGTTTTTGAACTTAAATGGTGTGTTGCAATAGGTTTCTTCAAATGGTTTGAGTTACCTTCACTTTTTGGGTTTTACAAAGTAATTCTTTAAAAACTTCTAGTTGACATGCAGTTTTAAAGTTACTTAGTGAGCAGTTACATATTAGTGAAAAGACTAGTTGCTTCCCAATTTATGTACTTTATATTTCTTTTCTTTTTGTAAAAACATATCAGTCAGTGATCAGTGTGTTAACACAAATTAGTTTATAAAACAATGAGTGCACCGTGCATAAATGGATCGTTTGGGACACAGCTACAGCCTGAAGGGGATCCTCAAAATCTCATGCATGTTCTGTGGGAATGTGTCTTTCTAAATCGTAAAGTATAAGATTAAACATTTACTGACCATTGAATTTCCAAGCGATGTCTCTTCTTTCTGTCCCAAGGACGTCCATAATTAAATGCACATTTTCTCCTTTACTGACCGTCATAGTGACCCTCACTGGTTTAAAATGACCTTACAAGATAAAATAATATTAGTACGCTGGTATATCAATCACAGTTTTAAGATCCTTTCTGCAATTTGATTAGTCTGATTCATATTCTGACAAATTAATAATACTTGAACCAAATCAATCTGTTTTGCCCAACTGTTTTAAAGGTATGCAGTTCCCTTAAAAATATAAAATCTGTCATTATTTATTCACTCCCATGTAATTTCAAGTCTGCATGACTTACTTACAGCAGAATACAATATAATTTTCACATTGTCCAAAGGGTTGCTTCAGCTGGGTCAAGTGGTGTTTTGGACCACAACACTCTTAAAAGTAGAAATTTCCTTTTGCCATCAAAGGTTTCATTAAAAAAAATTGTCTCATTCAAATAAAGATTTTTTTAATGATGGAAAAATTTATTTATATATTCAATTGTTCTTTATCCTAAAAAAAGATAAATAAGTTTTAACTACGATTACCACTTTAAGGATTTTTTTGTGGAATCGAGGATAGTTCTACTGTGGTATTACTGCTAATTGTATTTGCAATAACTGTTTTGACTACATTTACATGACAATAATGTAAAAAGTCTCATTGTTTTTTGAAAAGTTCTTGTTCTTTGTACTTTTAAAAAAATCTATTTACACTGAAAATTTGTCAACATTTAAAGTGGATCTAAAAAGTGTTGATAAATAGTTTTAGGACATCTTCGATGAAAGATTTTGATCCACTTTAAATGTTGACTACCCATCAAGCAGTTTTGTTTTTAAAATATATATAATAGATGTCAAATAGACATCTAAACACAGTTGTCTTGGCTTAAACAAAGCTAACTTTGGGCTGTCAGTGTAAATCTAATAGACATCTAAAAATAGGCCAAAAATCAAATAAACAGAAATGAATGACTACACATATAGTCTGTCTGTTTGTTGACTAGTGTAGTTTTGGGCTATTCTTACAGTAGATGTCTGGGTAACACTTTATTTCGATGGCCCATTTAAGTAATAGTACTTAAACTGCTCAATATGTGTTGATACTGGTGCTAAACAGACATTTAACTGACTATAAGAAACTATGCAAGTACATGCCAATTAACTTACATTAACCCCAACCCCAACCTAACGGTCTACTTATAATCTAATGAGAATTAGTTGACAGATGCAATGAAAATTATATTCAACAAACAGACTATCTAAATAAAGTGTGACCAATGTCTATTATATTTTCACTGACAGCCCAAGTTTAGCCTTGGTTTAGCCAAGCTGTCTACATTTAGCTGTCTGTTAGACGTCTATGTAACACAAAATTGTTTGCTGGGTACTGTATGCCTGTTCAAATACAGGTCTGTAGTTTGTTACTGTTATTTTGGTTTTCGAGTATTTGAGCAAGTCTAGACTGAACTCGTACCACTCTGATTCACAAATTTGTGGTTACACTTTAAGACAATAATAGTGGTGTTTTACAAAACATGTTTTTTGCTCATAAAATCATACCTTTGCTGTAGTTGTTAATTAGTGTAACATTGCCAAGCTGGTCTGATCCTCTTTTTGAGTGACAGTAGAAAATCCCACTGTGGTCAAAACCTGTAAATCCAGTAGCCACCACTTCTTTTGTCTGTGGCCTCTGAAGATTGAAACTAGGGGTATCTGCACGAAGAACAATGCTGTTGTCTTTTTTGATGCTCAGCTGAATGCCATCAGTGTCACGCTCTCCAGAAATGCAGGAGAGGTGGAAATGATTAGCAGATGTGGCCCCATTAGAGGTCATGGTGAGATCCATGACAGCATCTGGAAGAGGACATATTTCATACATATTAATGCAATCCAATCATCCGGCAACATTTGGAAAACAACTGCTGAAATGAAAAAAACATGGCGATCAATAGAAAGTAAATATCCTCAGTCATTACAGCTGAACCCCTTCTGAAACTTGTTCTGTACAGATTGCTGCTTATGTACATTAAATTACAGCAAAATCACAGCAGAAATGCAGGCACTAGAGAAACATCCACATTCCTGCTTTGACACATTTCCCCCTGGCTCTTTGCCACTCTGTGCCCTTCTCAACACAAGAACAATATCAGGAAACAAAGAGGATCCAAAGGCACCATTCCTCCACCAATGAGTAAAATAATGAAAACACCAGGCTGAGAAGCAAGTTCTCACACTTTTTTGCTCTAATAAACGTCAGAGTTTATTTTTTAGATCCTCTTTATAGACGGATACCTTGACCTCAGTAAATATATTTAACGTTTCTGAAGATATTTTTGAAAACCATTTGAGTAAGTTGCTTCAACTAAACCTGACATTTAACAGTCTATTACAGTACATGTTTTTTAGAAGAATTTTTAAAACAGCAGTTTAATAATGGACTATTAAATGAAATAATAAACTTTTGTTATATGTGAACATTATATTTTGTTATACATGAAATAGTAAACATTTAAACTGCCTTAAACATAATTCAAATGTTTGGGTAAATTTACCTTATTTATATCTCCATTCCCATATCACTGCAAAACTTTTATTCAGTTTATATATGTATTTGTATACATACTGTATGTGTGTGTGTGTGTGTGTGTGTGTGTGTGTGTGTGTGTGTGTGTGTGTGTGTGTGTGTGTGTGTGTGTGTGTGTGTATATATATATATATATTTAAATGTATACACTGACGGTCAAAAGTTTGGGGTGTTTTTTTTTCATGTTTTTTAAAAGAAAATTATTCTGTTCATCAAGACGCCTTTTATTAAATGTAAAAAAGTATGTAAAATTGTTAAATACTTATTTATTAATTAAATACATTACTTATTGTATGCATTTTTAAATGAAATGATTAGTTTACTCAATTTTTCTTTTATTACTATTAACATTAATAATAATAATAATAATAATAATAATAATTAAGAGTGATTTCTGAAGGATCATGTGACTAAAGACTGGGGTAATGAAGCAGAAAAATCATCATTAAAATCACTAGAATAAATAATTAAATTAAAACCAGTTTATAACTATTTTATAGTGTAATAAGATTTCACAATCTTACAATTTGCACTGTATTTTGATTAAAGAAACGTAGCCTTGGTGAGCAGGAGAAGCTTATTTTAAAACATTTTAAAATCATACTGACCCCAAACTTTTGACCATTAGTGTGTAGTTTATACAGTGATGACAGAATTGTCAGAAATGTTTGTGTGTGTGCATTTTGTAATTCTAGAACTAAATAATTACACTTTTCTAATCCTTAATAAAAATAATACCCCTAAACCGTTTTTGATCTATAGCTTTTTAAAAACTAGCATACAAAATACAAAACCACTCATGGAAAAAAAAAGTTTTGTAGTTGCATAATAACTTTTGGCTCAAAACTTTACTGCTAGATTATCTAGCCTCCCATACAGTCAATCTTTTTTTTTAAGTTACCAAATCACACGATCCGATTTTAGAGAGGAGAAATAACGACTACACTGTAATTTGAGCTGAATCAAATCAGGACTCCATTGAACTTATATTAAACTTATCTACTTAAAACAGTTTGCGTAACCTATAAACTTAAGTTGGAACATGAGTAACTTAGGTTAACAAGTTACAATGAACTAAAAACATATTCTGTCATGACTAATTGATCATATAATTTTTTTTTTTTACAGTGGAACAATGTTGGACTGATGGACTACCCACTTCAAAATATATGCAAAACAGCCATATACAACGAAACAAACTGGATTATGGGTTCCTTTTAAACCAATCACAAACATTTACCATTATGCTTAAAGTTGGATAACCTGGATTTAGTCACTATGTCAAATATCAACTCATGTCATACCATAGGTGTCTGCGATTTACTACAATATAGATTAAAATATATATTTTCCTTCCGGTTGTTTTTGATAAAGGAATGACCCTACAAGCCAGTTATGTGAACACAACATGACACTTTTTTTTAGAATAAAGCTTCAGAAGTCTACTTACCAGAGAGGTTAACGAGGAATAAAATGCAGATTAAACGCAGCATATCTGTAATCTTGTTTTGTCTCTCGAGTAATCCGTTAGATTTTATCCAAATACAGGATCTGTCATTCCAGTGGGATCTTCCAGGTCTCGAGCCGCCGCTGCTCCTTACTGCACATTTCTACGATCGCTATGATTGTCGGCGCACTGATTCAGTCTGCGCGTGGAAATCTGTGCTGCTGACACGCTGAAAACTACCCTCTCTTCTGCTTACTCCACACTCATACTTTGGGTGGGAAAGGAAGGAAGAGGCGTAGAGGATGAGAAAGAGAGATGAGAGAGAGAGGGGGAGAATGAGAACAATGTAATATAAGTATTTTCACTGAATTTCACTTACTCAAGATTGTGTTCAGTAAAATTATTAAACAACCACTAACTCAGCCTGATAAGCCAGTATGATATAGTTATCTTATAAATCTTCATACAAAAAAGTATATCAATTTTTTCCTTATAATAATAATAATAAAAAGAAATGTTTGACGTAAATAAGATCTCTGAAAAAAGATGAATAGGTATTAAAACAAAACAAAACAAAAAACTTCTACTTCGCTAGTTGCAAAAAAAGATATTTCTAATCTTATCTTTTTAACAGAGATATTTTTAATTTAGTTTAAATTTAGGAATTAAAACAAACAAAACTAAAACAAAAATAAAAAATAACCCTATAGGAGTGTTAATAAAAACTGAAAAAATGACTGTAGTTGAAGTTTAAGCAAATATAAAAACATATTTAAGGTAACAAAACATATTAACGAAAACAATAAAAGAAGACCAAGATCCAACTGAAAGGTAAATGCTAATCAAACAATGAATTTGACCAAAAATACCATTTAAAATGCTAAATTATTAAGAAACATACAGGCTGAATTGAAAAATAAATACATTTTCAAATGCTTATATGAACTGAAGCGCCAAAGACATGCGGTACAGGTGAATTGGGTTGGCTAAATTGTCCGTAGTGTATGAATGTGTGTTTGGATGTTTCCCAGAGATGGGTTGCAGCTGGAAGGGCATCCTCTGCATAAAAACTTGCTGGATAAGTAGGCGGTTCATTCCGCTGTGCCGACCCTGGATTAATAAAGGAACTAAGCCGACAAGAAAATGAATGAATGAATGAATTATAATAAATAAATAAATAAATAAATACAATATTTCTTTACAGATATTTTTTCTCTACAGATTCAAATTTTTTTGTAAATAAACTGCATGCTGAAATATATATTTTAGGTGGAACCTTCTTAATGTAAAATAAGATTAATGTTAAATACAATAAATTCACAAATAAAAAACAATCTCACAAACCATGTACAGTTAATTAGCCATACTTGTGATTTGTAATTGAATATAAATATTTGCATGTGCAGCAAGGGAAGGAACTATTCATAGGGGGCACAGTTTAGAAAAGAATAATAGCATTGTAATCTTAATGGTTATAGACAAATCTTACAACATATGATAAAACAATCATAAAAGAGCTATGATGATAAATAACAGATCGCTAAGGACTACAAATCCGCCAGTATATGTACTACAAGTTTCAGTCATGCAGTGCTGACATGGACCTGTTCCTCAGGTGTAGATTACACACACTCACGGCTGGGAGCTGCTCATGTACTGATTACATGGACTATATACACAGCATACACGCACACATCATTGCTGAGTCTAGTTTTACTGAATTTTGAACAATACGATGCGTTTTCCTTGTTTGGTTAGGGTTAGGTGTCATTCTATTTTTAACATCTTTGTGTTATTGTTTTTTCCTGTCTGCTGTCTACCTTTGAACATCTGCCTGTTTATTGACTACAACTCTGGATTATCTGCATACACCTGTTTGCCCCGTGTTAACTGTTGCTTGCCTGACCATTCTGCTAGTAAACCTTGCATTTGGATCTGGACTTCCTTGTCAGTGTCCTCTTCACATCACAATAGGCTTTTTGGCATTGGTCTGGGCCCACTATTTCTTCGGGGCCTTACTATATATAATTCAGAAAAGAAAACATCCCCAAAATACATTTTATATTTCACATCAGCAAGCTCAGAGACTAAATGCAGACTGATTTAGTGGAGCTAGGTGATCTCACATCAAGAAACAAATTCAGATGTTTCCTTTGACCTTGTCTTTGGCAGTGCATGATGGACTGGTACAGTCTGAATATACAGTATTTTAATATACTCCATTGCTCAAAGCACAAAACTGGAATATAGAACCGAGATTCATCAAAATCATACTCATAATCATGTTTGCCTTCTGAATGAATAAACTCCACTGTTGTGCAGGCGTCTTGTAGGCAACTACTTACATCAGTCACAGCCAGGAAACTAGAAACAATCGTGCTTGTATGTTTTGTCTAAATGCTCAGTCATCTCAAGTTTAATTGCAGAGGAAAAAGCCCACCGTCGCACGTCTACAGACCCATTTACACCACTTTTTGCACACTTCAGTAATTTGTGGATGGATGGTTTCTGAAATGAGCGCATGCATGTTTTTTGTCTGTTTCTTGATAACATCACACAATCCAGGCTGACTCAGATTGACATTGTTCTGACTTTCCTGTTTTCCACTCCAAGAGCATTGGGCAGATAAAATATACTTTTTTTTTTTTTTTTTTTTGCACACATGATAATAAAGCAGTGTTCAGTTGAAGATTTGTTAGTGCTGATTTAGACTAGCTGTATCTGTGTTGCTGTTTTTAGAAGTGCTGTCTGAGGAAGGTCTTCTTGCATTTGTGTGCAATGTCACCTTTGGTACACAGTATCTGTGAACTCTGCTCTGTTTATACAGAAGTAGCAGGTCAAAATCACAGGTCACATGCACTCACATCCTGCTTATTAAGAAGTGAAACCAGATTATTCATCAGATTAAAAATATTTACAGTTGTTGAAAAGAAACATTACGACACATCCAAAGATTAAACGTTACAGTAAGTGTTACTTTTATTGATTATTTACAATAAACAATATGAGTTTTTGGGGGTGTAGATTATACACAAAACTTGATGTCAGTAAGTTTTTTAAAAAGAAATATATATTTCTATTTAGAAAGCATGGATAAAAATTACAAAAAATTATGGATTTGACTCTGAAACTTATTGTTAATCAATTAATAAATAATACAACTATATATATATATATATATATATATATATATATATATATATATATATATATATATATATATATATATATATATATATATATATATATATATATATATATGTAAACGTATATTTGTTTTTAAAAATAAATTTCAGTAATATTATTGACTAATATAAAAATGTTCATATGATTTATTTACAATATAATTTGTAAAGTAATGTTTTCTGTCTTTTAGTTGATATATTATATGAGAGACTTTACCAAATAAGTGGATCTAATTTGCATTGTAAACATTGAATAAAAGTTTTTATTTTATTTCATATATTATGTTTTTGTTAAAATAATCCCAAAATCATTTAGCATAAATCTGCAGATTTTATTTTATTTTTTATAAAATTGTGTGCTGAAAAAGCAAAAAAAATTTTTACAGATTATGTCTGGCTCTTTATGGACGACAAGCTAATATAGAGCAATGATCCCATTGAAATGACCTCAAACGGCTAATTCTCTGGCCCAAATATCTGACACAGTGTGATGACACAGTCATCACAAACCTTTTTTTCTCCAGTTTTTACATAACTTAAGTATGATAAAAGTGGGGAAAACCAGGCACATGGATAGATCAAACATGAAGGCAGGGTGTGGGACTTTATGTTTTTGGAACCTGTAGAATTTGAGATGAACAATTTTAACTCATTGAAAACAAAAGCCTGCCTGGAGTAAAAAAAAAAAAAAAAAAACTCTTCGAACCATCAAGAGCTGCCATTGCTTTTCTGGACCAAATAAATGAAGGCTTGGTACAGTTCAAAGACTTAAGAGTTGACTGTAATTGTAAATGAAATGCTGCTGAATATTGGCACAAGTGAAAACAGTATCCAGAGCTGTGCTATTTACCAGTCTGAATGTCTGCTGGACAAAACTAGTTAACAGAATCTGTATGAAAAACATGTTTCTCCCTCTTGATAAACAACACAGACTGTAGCTACCTCTGAAGAATATTCCTTACATTCCTTTTTTTTATATAGCACTTTTCTAGGCACTTATAGCACTTTACACATAGGGGGGGATTTTCTCATCCACCCTCAATATGTCTAACCCATTTAATTATTATTTTTTTTGCTTTTTTTGCAATTTGATTACTTAGATTTCTTTCACATACAGACTTTAAGCCTTCTTTGATATTCATTCATTCAATGCAGGCGGAACATGCAAACTCCACACAGAAACTGAGCCGAGGATCGAACCAGTGACCCAGCGACCTTCTTGCTGTGAGGCGACAGCACTATCTGCACCACTACGACGCCCTCCTTTGATATTATGTTGGTTTATTAAGATTTTAAAACAGTGGAACACAGCACACTCTGAATTGCATTGATGTGTCTGTTCATTACTGTATGAGTGTGTACACACAGATGAGTTAAATGCAAGGTACAGATTATGATTATGGCACACAAAACTTGGCCACATCACTTCAGTTTCAATTAGAGCTTTCAGAAATTAGAAAAATCATAGTTGGGAAGTATGAACCTGTAGAAATCAATCTATTAAAACAAATCTACATAATATTTCATCAAGACAGACACGTTTGAAAGTGTTTTCACAAATGAAAATGTCCATAAGCATATCCTTAATGAGACTCCTGGAAAAGCTCAGGAGCATTGGTTAGCCCAAGTGGCATTATAAATCAGACAGCAAAATGCAGTCTTCTACTCACTTGATGCAGTCTTCTAATATGAACCAAAGTATTAGCATAAGTGAACTTTTTGGTCATAAACTATACAAATCAACTTAAGATTAAGTTACAAAAGTGTTGAAAGAATAGAAATAAAACCGTATGTAAGTAAACTTTATACATAAAACAAAAACTCTACAAAGAGACACTTAAAGAGTGCTCATTGATTATCCTGTCAGTTAGTGGCCACTCTGTTTTTTACTTGGTCAGTACTGTACCTCTTTGCAGTGTATAGTGTAAATCCAGATACTGAAAACAAGTCACTTTTGTATGATGATGTAAGCGAGTCGTATAAAAAAAAATCAAACACAATCAAAAAATCTTTTACAATGTAGATTGTGTCAGAGCAGCTTAACATAGACTGAAACTCTGTC